AAAGACCAGGTGTTTCAGACATTCCAGGAGTTCAATGCCATGGTGGAGAGGGAAACTAGAAAACCTCTCAAGTGCCTTCGTAGCAACAATGGCGGCGAGTACACATCTCACCAGTTTAGAGATGGAAACTAGGAAACCTCTCAGCTGCCAATGAAGTGTCTGCAGAACCATATAATGCTGATCATGGGGAGCCTAATCCAGACCATGAAATTGTTGATCAGGGGGAGCCTAGTCAAGAATAGCAGAATCAAGGAGAACTACATCAGGGGGAGCCTCCAACCCCGCAAGAGAATGAAGACCAAGTCAGAAGATCCAGCAGAAGTCGAAGACTGTCTACCAAGTATTCTTCATCAGAGTATATCATGTTGACAAATTATGGAGAGCCCGAAACTTATGAGGAGGCAAAAGCTCATAACAATAGTGACAGATGGATTAAGGCAATGGAGTCAAAGATGGATTCCTTATTAAAGAATGATACCTATGAGCTGGTGGAGCTTCCAAAAGGCAGAAAAGCATTGAAATATAAGTGGGTGTTCAAATTGAAAAGAGACGACAACATGACAAGGTACAAGGCTCATTTGGTTGTCAAAGGTTTTGGTCAAAAGAAAGGAGTTGACTTTGATGAGATTTTCCCACCGATGGGGAAGATGACTTCCATTCAAGTTATCCTTGGTATGGCAACAAGCATGGATCTTGAGCTCGAGCAGTTAGACGTTAAAACTGCATTTCTCCACAGCAATTTAGAAGAGGAGATATACATGGAGCAACCCAAAGTCTTTGAAGTCAAAGGTAAAGAAAATTTGGTGTGCAAGCTAAAGACAAGCTTATATGGTCTTAAGCAGGCTCCAAGACAGTGGAATAAGAAGTTCAACTCATTCATGGTGAGTAATGGGTACAAGAGAACTTATGTTGACTCTTGTGTCTATATCAAACAATTTTCTGAAGGTAAATTCATTATTTTATTGCTTTATGTTGATGACATGTTGATTGTCGGTCAAGATGCTTCTATGATTAAAAAGCTCAAAGAAGAGTTATCTAAGTCGTTTGACATGAAGGACTTAGGGCCAGCCAAGCAGATTTTGGGCATGGTGATAATTTGTGACAGAAAATCCAAGAAGTTGTGGATGTCACAAGAAAAGTATGTTGAATGGGTGCTTGAAAGGTTCAACATGAAAGCAGCCATACCGGTAAGCTCACCCTTAGCCAATCATATCAAGTTAAGCAAAGAGTAGTGTCCAAAAACATATGAAGAAAAGGAGAAAATGACAGTTGTTCCCTACTCTTTAGCGGTAGGAAGTATCATGTATGCAATGGTGTGTACACAACCAGATATTGCTCATGCAGTAGGTGTGGTAAGCAGGTTTCTCTCTAATCCAGGGAAGGAACACTGGGAAGCTGTTAAGTGGATTCTCAGATATTTGAAGGGGACTTCTAAGATGTGCTTGTGCTTTGGCGGTTCCAAACCAATCTTGGAAGGATTTACAGATGCTAGCATGGGAAGTGACCTGGATGGTAGAAAATCTACGTCTAGGTACTTGTTTACTTTTGCAGGGGGAGCTGTCTCATGACAATCCAAGTTGCAAAAGTGTGTTGCTTTGTCCACAACTGAGGCTGAATATATAGCCGCTACAGAACCATGCAAGGAGTTGTTGTGGCTGAAGCGGTTTCTCCAAGAGTTAGGTTTGAAGCAAAATGATTATGGCGTTTATTGTGATAGTAAGAGTGCTTTGGATTTGAGCAAGAACACTGCATATCATTCACGCACCAAGCACATTGATATTCGTTATCACTGGATTAGATAGGCTATTGAGAACAAGTTGCTACAGCCGAAGAAGATTCATACCGATAATAATTCCTCAGACATGTTGACAAAGGTAGTCACAAAATCAAAGTTGGAATTCTGCATTAAGGCTGCTGGGATGGACTCCAAGTAACTTGGAGTCATGATCGAAATTCCTCCCTCATGGACTGGAGGGGGAGATTGTTGGTATATGGTCCAGCCCATGATGAATGTTCTAGATTATTCTAGTAAGAAAGTGAGGTGGCTGGAGCATGCTAGACAATTCTAGCAAGTTATTAAGTTGGTGGAAGAAGCTAGAAAGTACTAGCTTCCTTGGTTGCAAATGAAAAGATCTAGAAGCTACAATTTTGTGACTAGTCTAGAATTAAGCTGTTTGGATTTTGGCTCGTCAAATATGTCCTAGTTGGTTTAGGATTGTTTTAGGAAACCTAGAGGTATACCGATTCTTGTCCTAGAGGGATTAGGAAAGAATTTCAATTTCTTTATTCAATTTAGGTTTGGATTTCTAGAAGTCTATTTGGATTTGGATAAGTGTAATTTCCTAGTCCACTTGGAAATAAGAATTCAATCAGCCTTAGGACATGTAAGCCAACTCTATGTCTATAATAGGGTGCGGCAAGGCTGATTTTTAAGAGGAGAGAAAGAAAACAGCCAGACAGCCAAGAGTTTTGAGATTAGTTTTAGGGTTTGCAAAAGTTCTGTAATCTTTATTATTAATCAAAGGAGAGGTGATTTCTCTACCTAGAGAAATAACAGATGGACGCAGGCAAAAGTTCTGCCGAACCAGTATAATTCTTGTGTGTTTCTAATATTTGCTAGTTTAGTCTATTGCCGTTGGTTACATTAAAGAACAAGGTCTAGTGTGCGGGTTTTTCAACATAAGCTAGAGGTTTGTAGAATATACTAGAAACTAGAAACTAGTTCTAGTTTGTAGAAGGAACTAAAAACTAGTAGAGTGCCAAGTCCTCACCTATAAATATGGGTGTGATATTGTACTGATGTAACCAATCAAGAAAGTAGTGAGTAGCAAAGGATCAAGTCCAAAGCTAGAGTTCCACTCCAAGAGTGAGAATGAGAATGTTCCACTACATATTGTGTGAGTGAAGTTTAGAGTGTCCATTTTCTACTTTACTTTGTGCATTCTATCTTGTAGTACCGACATTCCTAACAAGAAATACAAAGACACTAAACAAATTCTGAATCAAACTACTTACTTAATAGTGGCTTCAGCGCTCTTTACTGTAACTCTGTCATCGGTTGCATCACGGTTCAAAATCCCTAAAGCATAGTACTTTATATCCAAGTCCAGATAGGGAAAAATGAGCAGTAATAGCATACAAATGAAAAACTCGGATTAAATCAAATAAATTCTACAACAAAAGCATTAATAAGACCATCTCCAACAATGGGCTAAATGCCAAATTCCCCCCCCCCCAAACCCACTCCAACCCAAGACAAATCTTTGGGCTAAAAGCCAAATGCCAAAGCTGGGCCAAATACCACCCTAAATTCCTCCCCCCCCCCCCCATGCGAGTGGACTCGCTGGAACTTGGGCCACTCTTGGCCCGCCCACACACGTACGCGCCCCACGCACTAGGCTTGCAATGCTTTCTCGACAGGGGTGGGCCCTGCAGTCAGCTGGTTGTCGGCCAAAATCATCATCCTAACGGCTATAATTGAGATCCAATGGCTGGGGTTTAAGGATCGTTGGTTGATCCAATAGTCCAAATTCAAATTTATTTTTTTTCGAATATGTTATTTTAAAATACATTGAATCTAACGGCTGAGATCGAATATAATCAAATCTAACAGTAAAAAAAAAAGATCTCACGGCCTAAATTTAAATCCAACGGCTAAAAAAATTAAAAAAAAACTATTTAACTCAAAATTCACCTAAAAACTCCATAAATACCTATGTAATTGTTCAAACATTCACACAAATTTATTTTTTTCAATATTTATCAAAATTTAAATATTTTTAGATTAAAATGTTCATAAAATTAATTTACGATAGTCTACATATATATATATATATATTAATTTAATTTAAGAAAAAAATAGCCTAAGTTCATTATTTAATAATTCCGGGCTAAAATTTTAGCCTAGAACGGTTGGAGCAGAAAAACTGTTTCTGGGCTAAAAGCTAAATTTTCCAGGCTAAAAAATTTGGCTTTTAGCCCAACCATTAGAGTTGGTCTAAACTGAAATTCACATTAAAATGTATATCACACTTTGCCTTTAATCGTTTTCCTTATGATCCTCGTCCTTACATCAACTAATTGACAAAATAATACCACAATTAATACAGTACACAATCACAACATCCAAAATTACAAAAAATAGCTCCAATTACAAAAAATCTCCAAAAATATTAGTAAGTAATGACGAAGTAAAACCACAGGAAAAAAAAAGGGAAAAACCCTAAATAACGATAGAACTTATGGAGAATAGATAGGATAGGAATTTGAAGAAAAATGATGAAACAACACCAACAAAAAACACATTATCTTACCCGAATGAGAAGAGATGACGTTGAATTCGACTTTCTAGAAGCAAAAAGAAAGAACTGAGATGACGAAAAAATTAGGGATAGGGAAAGGGGAGATTTGTTTGAGAGAGGGAACAAGAACCATAAACCCTTACCTGGTTCAATTGTGGCTCAGCATCAATGGTTATGGCGAGAGTGGCAGAGAAGGTTTTAAGCTTTTGAAGAGAGGGAGAGAGGCGGAGAGCTAGAGGCAGGCTCGAGCATCTGAGTCTCATTATAATTCTTTTTTATTTTTCTCTTTTAGCGCAGAACAAAGCGCAAAAATTTTTAGTGAAATTTAATATTTTATTGCGAGGGCCGCCTTACAGTTGCACAAACGGTGTCGCAAATGCCATGTTTTCTTGTAGTCCTAAGGTCCTGTACAGACTTGGTAAGGCTTACGGTCTCGATTTGAGAAGCTCACTAAGTTGTGCAATCTTGACATGTATAATTGTTTCGTCATCAAGGAGTTGCCCCAAGGCATTGGTAATATGAACGGTTTAAGAAAAATCAACATGGGGACAATGCTCAAGTTTGAAAAAGTTGGGTACTTAGACAAAATTACTTTAAAATATTTCAATATCATACATTATCTTCAAATTTATTGCAATGCATACATTTTAATAATTTTTTTTAAATAGGAGACCCATCCCTACAAACCCATCACCCATTCTTTCCCATCCACTGTGTCCCTGCCCCCCACCCCAACCTTCCTTCACCACCAAAACCAGAACCCCATCGCCACCTTCTCTTCCGCCATCTCCACATCCCTCCTCCTCCTCCTCCTCCACCACCACCACTAAATCCAACCATTCAAAGCAACTCGTCATTCAACCTTCCAGTTCAAATAAAAACCAAGTACTCCACAACACTCCAAACCCAAAAACATCATCCTATCCAAAAGGTTCCGAATCCAACGAACTAAACCCGTCGTCGTTTTGGCCCACTGAATTATCGTTCTTTCTCAGCAGTCAGCACACCCTCCATACACACGTGACTCTCCCTCGCCCTCATCTTCCCCACTCGATCGTCTTCTCCACCCAGCCACCTCTGCCAAATTCCAATCAAGTCTTCCCATTTCTGCAACTCCCCAAAAACCCCTAAATGCCCCTCAAATCCTAGACTAATTACTTCCTCCTCCAACTCTTTTCTTCTTCACCTATCGGTTTTGTTCTGGTGAAGGAACGAGATGATGGGCTCTGAGAACCGGGCCTCCGACGAAGCCCACCTCCTCGCACCGAAAGAAGAAATGGAGGATCTCGTCCTTGACGCTCAATTGAATGGTAATAAATCGTACTCAAATTATTGCAGCGCCATGTCGTCACTATTCGATACGACACAACCCCTTTCGTCGTCGCCGCCTTCGCTACCACCACCTCAACAACGCCAGCCGACATCGATCCCCTTTTGGCGCCCTCACCATATCGCGATCTCCCCCGACAACTCCACGTACATCGACCCGCCTTCTTACATCAACGTGACCTTCAGCCCTTTCGATGCCGAAATCGCGGCCGAAGGCAACGGCAACGAGATCCCCTGCAAGAGCTCTGACGACTCGAATATAATATAAGGTATGATATTTAAATATTTTAATGATGAGGTATAAGCTCTGATAGACCTAATACTTGAGATAGTTTTATGTAATTCATCCGAAAAGTTACCTTTATGTGTGGATCTTGATGAGGAGTTGGAGCAAGTGATTTGTGATGAAGAGAAGAAACATTTGTGGGAACCTTTCTTAATTTAAACTATATTATTATTAGTCTATTGTGAAGTTATATTTACTTTTATCTTCTCATATTTTAATGATGATAATATCATTTGTTTAAAAAAATAAAAAAAGACAAAATAAGGTTTGTGTTACATTGTTTCTTTAATTTTCATCTTCTTGTTGGGTTTTTCTTTTTTGATTTTGTACAATTTCTAAGTTTCATCAAATCCATTTGTGGTACTGTTTAGATCAAACTCTCTTGAGTCTTAAGAAATTATGCGTTTTTTTCCTGTGTAATGTTTTACACAAAATAAATAATGTGTATTATATTTTCTTGTATTGCATTTTTATGAAGTGCAAAATGATGCTTTTGGAGTATCAACACCAATTCTCTATAAATAATGTGTATTATATTTTCTTTGAATATACAAAACATGTGTTTTTACTAAACCTAATATGTAAATTATGCATTAAGTTTCTTTTGTTGCAGACTCCTGTAGGTGATAGATATTGAGATATTCTAAGTTACGGTTGAATGTGTTTTAAGTTAATGCAAACACGCAATCGATATGCCATTGATATCGTCAAAATGTAATCCGTAGAGTGCAACATAAAAGAAATGGTTTAAGTATCAATCATTTAGTGTTCATCGGTCCAAACTTTCGTTTGACTGTCTTTATGCTTTTGTCTCCTTTAGAAACTTGCCTTCACAACTCCTCCGTGAGAGATCCTTTCTCCTTGGCGAGACTTCTTCTTTCCTTTGTGTGAGAGTTTCCCGGTTCCGTTCATCTCCTTGAGCTTCTGGTTTCCCCCCGTTCGCCACTTTCCTCCAACCCCTGTGCCCCTGATTTCTCTGTCTGTAGCCCCTTCCTCCCCTTTTCCGTTTCCCCATCCTTCCACCCTCCTTCCGCTCTTCTCCCCTATTTCTTCCTTGAGCTTCCTGGTACCTATTTCCTTTCAACCTTTTCCCCCTTTTTCTCCTTCCGTCCACCTTCCTCCACCTTCCTCCCACCTTCCTTCCACCTCACCCCCTTTCTGTCCCTTTCCTTAAACCTTCTTTCCACCTTTTTCCCCCTTTTCCCCTTCTGTCCCTTTCCTTAAACCTTCTTTCCACCGTTTTCCCCCTTTTCCCCCTTTTCTTCCAAGTTAATTTCCAAGTGCCCCACCACAGCAATCAGCTACTGCTAAAAGTGACCGCGCTCCAACTCCGAAATTTCTTTCGAGCTTCAAGAGTAAGGGTTTCTATGTTAAAACCAACCCAAACTGTATATTTGTTTGTCCAACTTTGTATTGCTTGATCACCAACAACGTAAGAGAAAATCCAACTTTGTATTGCTTCTTTTCTGAATCTCTTTATTTTGGGTTCCATATTTAAGAGTGTCAATTTCTAATCTGATATTGTTTTGGGCAACTGCTTAAAATGGTCCGAGATCAAGGAGTGTATTCAATTGAGATTTTTAGGGATTTTAATTCTTTTAATGAATCTAGGGTATTCAATTAGAATTTTGAGTAAGTCTTTGAAATTCTAGCAGTATTCAATTAGAATTTTAAGATAGTTTATTAAAATCCTTAGAAATATTCAATTAAGATTTTAAATGTGTATTCAATCAGAAATTGATTTTAAAGAATTTGAGAAAGTTGAGGAATTACAAGGAATTGAAGAGATTTCGTAATGTATTTTAAGCATCCACAAATCTCACCTTTTTATATGAGATTTCGAGGGAATTGAATCAAAATTTTATATGAAATCTCTACAAATCAATTAAACTTCATTAAAATCTCTCACATTCTCAATTGAATACACCCCAAATCTCAATTTCTCAATTCCTCAACTTATCAAAATCAAATATCGATGACATAAAAAACTGGTAATTTAAGAAATTCGGCCAATTTCCCCTGTTATTTTCAATTGTCGTAAATTTTACATTGAAACTTTTGTATGTTTTTCTGATTTTCGGTGTTGGTTTTCGTCGTTAAGAATCAAGGAATGGATGGAGCAGACGACCCTTCCGGATCAGTATTCAATGCGCTGCATGAGGTCCTCATGGAGCTGATCGCCAAGAATGTAAGGATTAAGCCCCTCCTCAAAGACATCAAATCCAGGTTAGACTCTTTGGAACCATTGTTGAAATATATAGAAAAAGATATAGAAAAATCCAAGAAATTGGATCTTCCGGTTGTGGAACTGGAAAACTTAGAAGTGCATTTGGAAGAGGGCATAGAGCTCGTTCAAAAGTGCATAAAGATTCGACGGTGGACCACATACAAACGGTACAAATACTCCAACAAGCTGACTGGATGGGATAAATCTCTTCAACGACTTTTGGAAAAGCTAGACGTTCAGGGAATAAGGGATATGAAGGACAGCCCGGTTTTGGTGAAGAATATAGAGAAGGCGGTCAGCAAAATTCAATCGAATCTGGGGATACCAAAACAACCCGACAGTGAAACTTGGTGTGCAGCACCTGAACTTCCACCGCTTGTGGTTGGGTTGGATTTTCCTCTAAAGGAATTGAAGAGGAAGCTTCTAAAGGACGAAAAGGTATCAATGGTTGTGCTGACTGCTCCCGGAGGATGTGGGAAAACCACTTTGGCTACAAAGTTTTGTCAAGACAAGGATGTCAAAGGTATCATATATTTTAAGTTAGCACTCGGAGTTGTATATTTTTTTTTGTGATGTAAAAGGTATCATATATTACAACTATGTCAGATTTAAATGACGCCTCAATGACAGATTTATTATGTTTTCTTTGGATAGATACATTCAAGGATAATATCTTCTTTGTCACGGTTTCAAAAAAGCCTAAATTGGAAAACATTGTTCAAGATCTATATCAACGAAAGGGTTTCCAGGTACCTACTTTCCAAAACGAAGTTAGTACAGTGACGTGGCTGCAACATTTTCTTAAGAAAGAAGGGCAGAATCCTATACTGTTTGTCCTGGATGATGTTTGGTCTGGATCAGAATCCCTTGTGCAGAAGTTTGATCAATTCAAAATGGAAAATTACAAGTTTTTGGTGACATCTAGGTCTGAATTTCGGGGATATGGTTCCCCTTATTATTTGCGATCATTGGATCGTGACAATGCGATGAAACTTTTTCATCATTCAGCATCCCTTGGAGATAAGAGCTCTCATATTCCAAAAGTTCTTGCAGAAAAGGTACTTTTTAGTTGCAATGCAGAGCATGTATAGTAAAAAATTAGTTGACTTGGTTTTGGAAAATTGTCAAGAAATCATGTTCACTTTACGCAAAGCATCCACAATCAAGTGAATGAACACGTCCATTTACCGTATAAATTTGTGAGCAGTCATGCATCTAAGCATACTTGTGGACTAAAACTAAAATTAGAATACAGTATATAGTTATTTAGCCATTTTCACATCATCGTAACTTGAATTTTGGCTCTGCAACTTAAAAGGTAACTGACTTTGTTTTGGAAAATTATCCTGCAGATAGTCGAACGTTGCAAGGGATTTCCGCTTGCTATTACAGTGGTGGGGAGATCGCTTTGCGGGGAGCCTATAGAGATATGGCAAAAAAGAGAACTTGAATGGTCTAAAGGTTTTTCTATTCTTGATTCAGAGACTGAATTGCTGCTCTGCCTTGAACGAAGCTTGGATGCCATAGATAAAGAAATCATCAAGGAATGTTTCTTAGACTTGGGTTCATTTCCAGAAGACCAAAGAATCCCTGTTGCTGCCCTCATTGATATCTGGGCAGAGTTATATGATGTAGATACAGATATAGAGTGCATTGCAAACCTCTATGAGCTAACCAAACGTAGTCTAGCTAATCTTGTTGTTACAAGGTGTGCATGCTTTGTTTTTTCTTGTATGATATTTTCGCTCTATTTTCCCCTTTATACTCACGACTGGTTGATGCTAATAACTTGTTATTGCATTATGTTGGTTGAAGAAATCTCTTCTAAGAAAATTAGTTTTGATCATCACCAGGAAGGACAATATGGTGGGGGACGGGTACTACAGTGAGCACTTTGTTACCCATCATGATGTTGTTAGGGAGCTGGCTATCTACAACACAAAAAAAGGACCAGTAGAACATAGAAAAAAACTGATTATTGACATATGTGGAGACAATCTTCCAAAATGGTGGAGAGAACAAAAGCATCAGCCAATGAAGGCCCGCTTAATATCCATAACAACTGGTTGTTCCATCGCTCCTTTTCTCTTTAGCAATTATGTAGACATGCACAAATAAATAGTTATTCTTGCTCACACGCACTCGCACGTGCACATGAAGCCTTAATAGTACTTTCATTTAGTTTCTTCTCCAGACACTCACAGTTGTTGCTTTGCAGATGAAGGGTTTTCAACAAAGTGGCACGACATGCAAATGCCAGAAGCTAAGGTTTTAGTATTGAATTTCCAGACAAAGAATTATGCCTTACCCGAATCTTTGGTGAACATGGATGAATTGAAGGCTGTGATAGTCACAAATTATGGTTTCTTACCTGCTGAATTGAGTAACTTTCAACTTTTGAGTTCGTTACCAAATCTTAAGAGAATCAGATTAGAACGCATCTCAATTCCTTCTATAACCAACAATCCCAAACAATTGGCGGGTCTGAAGAAGATATCCTTGTTCATGTGTAACATTGGTCAAGCTTTCAACAACGGTTCCATCTCAATCTCATCAGCATTCCCAAATCTAGAGGAAATGAACATCGACTATTGCAGTGATTTAATTGAATTGCCCGTCGAGGTTTGTGATCTTAATAAACTAAAGAAGCTCGGTGTCACTAGCTGTCATAAACTATCTGCCTTGCCTGAAAGGATTGGAAAGTTGGAAAATTTAGAAATGTTAAGGCTAAGATCCTGCACAGAACTGTCAAAGCTTCCACCCTCAATGAAGAACCTGGGAAAGGTAAACTTTCTTGACATATCTGATTGCTTCAACATCAAGGTGTTGCCCGAAGACATTGGTGAAATGAGTAGTTTAAGAAAGATCAACATGAGACAATGTTCAAGGTTGCAAGAGCTGCCTCCATCAGTCATGGATCTTGAGCAGTTAGAGGAAGTGGTCTGTGATGAAGAGACAAAATATTTGTGGGAGTCTTTCTCGTCGTGTCTCAACAACCTGAAGATTATTGTGACCAAAGAGAATATCAACCTAAATTGGCTCCACAAGACTCAGTTCTGAGGTATTCTAAGTTGCAGTTTACTGTATTCTAGCCGATATGCCATTTATATGTTGTTGTTATTGTTGTTATCATTGATATTGCAAAGTTAGAATTGTCAAAATATAATTTGTGATGCCCAACTGTAAGTGCAGTATTAGGATGCATGATCCTCACACAAACTCCCCTAAAAGTGTGGTGAACTCTTGTTACAAACTCCCCTATTGTAAGTGATGATTTCGTTCAGGTGTGCAACTGTTGGCTATGACCAACAGATTGTTTGTTTTATGTTATTAATAAGCCATTTGCTTGCGCCGCAAGAAACTGGCCTTCTTCTCAATGGATTGTTATTTTGGAGGGGTTAAATCCATATTTAGATTCTTTTTAATGCCGTGAGGACAAGGACTTAATAATTTTCTTGTGTTATGTTGGAACCAAATGGGGGGACCTCCGGGACCGGCAGTTGAGCACAAATTCGAGTAAACCTAAGCAACTTGCAAAATAGTAAAACAACCGTAAGCAAACCTTACCAAAGGTTCTTCAACGGTCAAGTTAGTGAATGATCTTTAGACTCAAGCAGTGGACAAGAGAATTCAAGTGTATGGATTGCGTTAATGTAGATGAACCTTAGACAGGTGTATTTATACCTTCGTTCTAAGCTGGGAGAATCTTAGGGGGAGAATCTTAGGGGATAACTAGTAAGTAGATATTACATCCTCTTATGAGTTATAATTACTTACGGCGCATGCTTATCCCTAGATTGTAGGGACTCCAAGACTAATAAAATCTGATTGTGTCCCTACTCGGATTAGATCACATGTCTTGCAGAACAAGTATGGTCATTTAGTGGAGTCGCTAGGACTCTTCTGCCTATTGCCCTAGAGTAGAGTGATGGTGGCACCCTACTCCCTCTGATAGAGCTCCACCCAGGGCTGGTAAGTCTATGACTGGACTTCTGAGGTAACAGTATTCGGATCAGCCTTACTCTAGTCCTGAAAAATCATGGTCCCGTAATTTTCCCTAACAATCTGTCTGAGAGGCAACATGTTCCCATTGAAGATGGATTGTTATCAAAGGCAATGCCTTTTGGAATAAGCTGGAATACATACCGTTTAATCTTCATGAATGCAAGGTGACCTTTTAACACTAATGTGGCAGCATTTCAGATTCAAACATGTATCTTCGTGTAGGTGCCATAAAGTTCGCAATGATGAAACATTGCGTCTGACTCTTGCGCACGAGAAACGAGAAATCTTCTTTGATATCCCTTGTTTTTCCTAGCCGTTGTTAGATCTTAATACAAGTCGGTCTAAATTCAACGGTTAGATGACTCCCCCAAATGATACCTATATATCCTCGGATCTTGCTTCTCTCCTCTACCATAAACTTTCATTGTCCAAAAAGGCTCCAACTTGTTATCTGTACCTATTTCAATATCCTCTCTCCCTTTTGAATCTTTTTTCATGGCGTCTTCAAGCAAGAAGTCTAAATTGGTCAAGGTTTCCCCTTATAATCTTTCTTTGACGAGAATTTGTAATCGAGAAGAGGGTGAGTCATTTGTTGAAGAGCACCATGATATCTTGTAAGACTGCAACGTTTGGTGGGAATCGACCACGATATCTACGCCGACTTGTCGCCATTGTCTGACCCATGTCGCCCTTGCATTATAATCTACCCCTGGTTCTTGGACTTAGGCATTCGCTTTCCGCTTTCTACTTTCATGAAAGGCATTTTATTGTGCTATGATATAGCAATTTGTAACCTTTTTCCCACCACCTTCAGGCTTCTTACTTGCTTTGAGTTGCTGAATAAGTGGTTCAGGGACTGAGTTGGATATCCCCAAGTTTAGGTTGTTGTACTGCATCAGACCGAGTTTGGATGACCACTATTATTTTGCGGTTAGAGCTAGCCTAGCTTGGGAGACATTCATTCAGGACATTCCCTTCCACGACAAGGAATGATTCAAAGATATACTAGTCGTTGACGGAGCTTGTGAAAGAGATATTAGCGGATTCCAAATCCGATCTCGTCTTCCAACTGACCCAGATTTCAAAGGTGGTCTATCTGGTATTAGCATATGCCGTCTAGACTTGATTCGCCGGGCAATGCAAATTCTGGCCGTTTCCTGCAATTAGAAGTGGTTGTTTTCCTCTGAGCACTTCAACAGCCGTGGGAAAGATATAGACGCCTTTCACTGTTCTAGATTCCCTAAAAAGAGTCAGAGTGGGTTGATGCTCGTAGCGTTCATAAAATGTCTCGTTCCTTTAAACCAGCATCAACTCTGTCACCTATCCCAAATAAGCTAAAATATCCTGGTAGTTATTCTTCTCACTCATTGATTGCGACTCCTCAGCTCTAGCTGGTTAGGTACATCCACTGTAAAGGTATTGGATAAGAGAAAGAAACCCATCTTCGAAGAAAGAGACGTATTACTATTCCGACGCCACCAACTTTTAATGTACTTACCCCTGCATCCGTAATAGATGAGGCACCTCTTCGCTACCCTTGCATTCACCTGCAATGTTGCCCCGGTCATCGGAGTCGAAATCGTCGTGCCTTCTATTGCCTCGGCGTCAACCTCTGTCCCTCAACTGCTACTTTCTGTAGATGGATCTCCCCGTTATGATGGTCTTTCGTCAACTGCTGCATTGAGAGGAAACAACTCATCCTCCCCTTGTGATTCGGCCTTCAATTGATTGTGTTGCTCTTCTTTCAGATGCTAGTGGTCTTTAAAATACGGACTATGCCCCAGTGCTGCTCAGAGTCGTAATTGCCCTCGCCGACTTTAAAGAAGATTGCACCTCTTGAAGACGTCATGATACGGTGCTCCGAGAGTCGTTATGAAGTACCTGACTCCATTTCCTTCATTTCTCTTTGTTGATATTCATGAATTCCCCATCATGTACCTTGTATATTATGTTAATATGTGGACGAAGGTCGCCTTGTTCTAACAAGTAAGGCGAATCTAGGAGCTTGAACAGATTTCGGGCCTTGAAACAGTGGCGATAATAGAGGCGGAACAGCGATTGCTAACCCAATTAGAAGAACTCAAGAATGCGCATGCCAGGTAGCAAGCTTTGGATTCTGCTCATGAGGCGGAGTTAATTCGCTACATCGACCTGGCTATTATTGAAGATAAAGGCCAAGGATTACTAGGAAAGTTCTAAAAAGTTCAGAGAATAGCTAAGGCTGGAGAGACAGGCCAAGGCGGAGTCAGACTAGGCTCTCGTTCCCTCGAAGGGAGAGTCAGAGTGTGCGTTTGCTTCAAAGTGGAATGCTTGGGCTAGGGAGCGGGAAGCTCTTCAAAAGGAGGTTGAGGATCTTCACCAAGAGGTCGACCAAAGACAAGAGTCTCAAATCAAGATCCAAGATTCACATCACGACTTTGGAATAAGTTACAAGATGAGCTTGGAACTCGCTTTGATTTAAGTATAACTTACCATCCGCAGAATGATGGGCAGTCAGAGCGAGTAATTCAAGTATTGGAGGATATGCCTCGTACATGCATACTTGATTAGGAAATGAACAGGCTTAGAAATCGAGTTATGAAATGTAAATGACAATACCATGGGCCTAAAGAAACAATCTGACATTTAGATATCCACCTACATTTGTAGAATAGTTCACTACTTTGGCATGATGGGAAAGTATCCGCTATCTGTTTCTTTTCTTATTCATGTAATCATTGTTATTCGCTCAAGTTAAAGGATCAACTGGCCACCCGATCATTGACACTCTACAGTTGAATGTTCATTGATTTAAGGAATAAGAAATGCAATAGATATGATGCTAAGAAAATTTTGCAAAGATACCCATAATTTTCTTGAAAGTTTATGTGTGTTCAACTAAGTGTTAAATGTATTCAGTATGCTTAAGATTTCGAACTTCACTTGGAAATGACAGTCCAGTAAAAGATGAAAACTCTCGACTTGTTAAGTAATTCAGTGTTTAAAGTAAATCTCAAGGACAAGATTTGTTTTAAGGAGGGTGGAATGTGAGACCTTGAAATTTTAGAGGTGTTTTTATGAACTTTGGATTACCTACGAATTTTACAATTTCTAGTTCCTTTTAAATGGGTGATGATTTTACTTGAGTTCAAAGATTATTTTGTGGTAAAAAGATGAAAGTGGATGAGATTACGAGCTCGTGGCATCTTTTGAATTAATTTTCAAAGCTCGAACGAACTTATAGTGGAACTTTAAATATGACAGATTGGATAACACCATGTGGCAACCAAAGAATGGCTGACTTTGACACATGGCAGCCACAAGTGATGGAATCAGCCACGTGGAGATCAATTTGACAGCCACCTTACGCAAGAGAACCTAGGAGCTTATTCATGGTTGTATATTGATAAGCTCCACCATGTTGCTAATTTATAAGAATTATCATGAAGCCTTGTTGTCAACTTAGCATGGCATGGTGATGACTAAGCTTTTAAGTTGGAAGGATTAAGGTGGAGCCATCATTAAGGTTAGATACAATAGACAAGTGTGTTTGTGACTCATACTTTTACAAGTAAGAGTTGTCAAAGTAGCAGGAAAGGTTATCCAATATAGAGTTAATGCTGCCCATTTCATCCAATGAGGAATAAGAGATTTCAGATTATTTCACCTATAAATAGGAGCAGCATCTTCTTAGTTTCAAGTGCAGCAATTATATAGTCGAGAATTAGGTGAGCTCAATGTATGATAATGGCATACAATGCATGCGATAAGAGTTCATGTCAAGCTTGTTCTTGCACAAATTGAAGGCTTTGAAGCCTATTTGATGACTGGAAAACGATTAATAAGAAATTAAGGTAAAGATTTACACTTGATCAGATTTCTGAGATTTTGTACAAGTTTCATATGGATGAGATTTAGAGAAATTTGATGTTTGACTCGAAATTCATCAAATTTGGTTTTTATACGACGTTTGTATGGAAGAAGTGAGTTATACTATTGATGGATTGTGTTTTGCCTTGAAATATATGTTTGAATTTCTAGGAAAACAGACCTCAAAGCCGCTGGTTTCATACCAGGTATTGAAATGTGAAAATAGTTTCAGTTTTGGGGTAAGTTTGTATATTACCAAAAGTTCAGGGGCCAAAGTGAAATTATCAATTGCTTGGGGCCTATTTGAAATAATAAAAGTTCAAACACAGATTTTTTATTCTAGTTAAGTGAAGGTCCCTATTGGATATAGTTGTTATAATGGGAATAAAGTTTAGTCATTATATATGGACATATAGTGACATATTGTAATTGTTGAACTAGGGACTCCAATTACTCGTGGTGCTTACGTTTAATCAATGTATTGGTGAGGAATATTACTTGCTTGGCTTGGAGACCAGATAGGGGGATCCTTATTTACCCTAGTTATGGATTTTT